GAAATCTGTGGTGTCGGTTTGCCACATCCGGATAAATGTGGTATTGGTGAGTGGTAATGGCTATAAGTCTAAATCCACCAGGGGTACTCCCCAAAAGTGGAGTATCCCAGCTTAATCGTAGTGTAGTTGGTAGAAAAATCCCGACTACTCGGGCTTCTTACTTCCCGGAGGGCTTGGAATCCCTTTTAGGGGATGTGCACACTTAAGGTAGGAGTTCGGCTTCCACTGGACTTTGATTGGATCGAGGTGATTGAGATTATTTGATTGACTTGATTTGGACTTGAGGTGAATATTATTTGGTTGGATTGGACTTGTGTTGAAATTGAATTCTTGGATTGATTGAGATTAGATTGGATTATCTTTGGATTGAATTTGAGTTGGATTGAATTATTAAATTATTTTTGAAATTATTAGAGTATAAGTACTTTTGGATTTGATTCGGGTTGATTATGTTGAATATCGTTTATAATTATTTATAAGTATTTTGAGATTTGAGGTGAATAATTGATGTTTGATTTATGCTTTGGAATTATTGTAATGATTTTTGGTGGTTTTATGTATATTTGGTATTTTTGTAATTATTGTGGTTTTATGTAAATACTTACTTATATTTGAAATAATACTATTATTTTACTAGTGAATTATGCTATGAGAAGATTTTATAAATTATTTTAAAAAGATTTTTCCTCCTAAATGTTTTTTTTTCAAAAACATTAAATTTTATTATATTATTTTATAGGGTTAGGTGGAACTTACTTAGCATTGTTGCTAATTTTTGTTTTCTTTTGTTTTTCTTTCTGTACTTGATATTGTACAGGTGGCGCTTTGATGATGATGTTGATTTCGAGAGAGCTTCCGCTAGAAAATATAATCAGTAAATCATTGTAATTCCATTTTTAATATCTTTAATTAGTGAATAATTATTTTTGGAGTTTAAGTTGCTTTAGCCTATGCACTCGGTTAAGGGAGAACCGAGTGTGGCGGTAACGCCCCTATTTCCCTTTGAATTTTCCGCTGCACAATTATGATGTTTTCAAATAAAATTAATAATAAAGTATTACTTCAAAGTGTTTTTGAGTGGGAAATTTGGGGGTGTTACAAACTTAGATAGAAAATTTTCAAGGTTTACCTCAAAGCTCTCTTGGTCGGATTCCTCGTCAGAATGAGCCATAAGACATAGACCCGCATGATTGGTGTTCTTATCATTTTCCTCTTCTTCATCATCAGAAGAATCTCCCCATGCTGCCATCATGGCCTTTTTGAGATCTCTCTTGAACCCTTTGTCTTCGCTGAACCTCCGGTTGGAACTGGACTTATTCTTGTCGCAGTTCCGGTCATTTTTCTTTTGTGAACAGTCTTTAGCCCTGTGCTCAAAGGAACCACAAACAAAACAACCTTGGTTATTAAGGGATTGAGTATTCCTTTTACCTTGTTTGGTACGGTTGTTCTTGAACTTTCGGTACATCCTCCCAAATTGTTTCGCAAACATGCTCATCTCATCATCCGATTCACTTTCGGATTCTTCTTCTTCTTCTTGAGCCTTTAGAGCTATTCCTCTTTCTCGTCTAGCATTCTCGGCATCTTGTTCCTCTTGAAGACCCAGTTCATATGTCAAAAGTGATCCAGTCAAGTCTTCAAGCGTCGTGGTGGATAGATCTTTTGCTTCTTCAATAGCCGTGGTCTTAGGCTTCCACACTTGGGGTAGGCTTCTCAAAATCTTTCTCACTTGATCTTCCACTGTAATTTCTCTTCCAAGGGCTGAAAGCTCATTGATAATGTTAGTAAAGCGTGTAATCATATCCTTAATTGACTCTTTTGGCTTCATTACGAATAATTCGTAATTACGCATGAATATGTCAATCTTAGATTTTTTTACACGTGAGGTTCCCTCATGAGTGACCTCGAGCAAATCCCACATTTGTTTTGCAGTCTTGCATCCTAGAACCCGATTGTGTTCGGCAGGACCAAGACCGCAAATTAGATATTTAAGGGCTTGGGCATTATGCTCGAGTTTCTCATAATCTTCAGAAGTATATTCAACTTTAGGTTTAGGAACAACATTACCTTCGGCGTTTCTCTTTGTGATGACATTATCACTACTTTCAATTACATTCCAAACCTGGTAGTTATCGGCCTTGATAAAGTTTTCCATCCGACTCTTCAAAAATTGATAGTATTTGCCATTGAACAATGGTGGTCGTTGAGTCGAGTACCCTTCTTCCAATCGGTCAACCGTATTCATTTTGCCGGATCTCTTCCCAAGGTATTAGCCTCTATGTGGTGAAGACCGGCTCTGATACCAATTGATGAAAACGGTTAGCAACACAAGAGGGGGGGTGAATTGTGTGTGTGTGGAACCGTGGCAGTTTTTCGCCGAGTTCTAGTGTGGGATAAAGGGAATTGCTAGATAGTAAAGTGCACAAGAATTTAACGAGAAAAAATCCCTTGGCTCAAAGGGATTAAAAAACCTCGACCTCCCTCGGAGGAATTTTACACAACTTCACTAAACAAGCCTTTGAAAGAGTTACAAGAGTGATTCTCCTAATCTACCCTTGAGCCTCCCCAACTCTATCCTCTCTAGGAAGAGTTATGCATCTCTACCTTGCGGGTAGAGAGCCTCTCAGCTTTATCACAAAGCTCTCACACACACTTAACCCGAGGCAGCTACTCTAGCCAATTAAGCCTCAATATTCCAAGTACAATATGAAAGGGAAAAGAAAACTCTATCTAGAACTCCGCGAGCAGTTTCAGGCGCCAAGGACTTGATCCTTTTCTTGAATGATTCTTCTAAGTATTGTTCTCGGTTCAGCACACCTCTCTCCTTTTGGTTGCTCGAATATATATGCTGCTTGGAATGAATCCGTTGGGGCTCACTTTCCTTGAGTAGATCAATTTTGAATTACCTTCCTTGGTTACCAATTTTTTATTTAGCAAGAGGTATTTCGTTAGTCAAAAAGATATCAAGAAATTAAGCACATTTATTATAGAGACTACCTTAACAAGGAAGTAGTTCATTTTCCTATTTAAGGAGAGCAACGGGTCATATTTTAAAAGCCATCATTCCATTCAAAATATCTAGTCACGGATGGTAAGATATTAGGCTTTGATTGGTATAGTATCCTTCCATAAATGGAGCAAGTATTTATTCAAATCATGTGATATTTCAAAAAGTATCTTTCCTCAAATCATGCCACGTTCATTAGTTGTTTGAAAACAATTGCTTTCCTTAAAAGTGTATTAATTAAAGACCTTTTCCATAAGGATATTTCATTAGTATTTTTCCTTTTTAATTTATGCAAGCCAATAGTCTCACAATAATGTTACGTAATCATGCATGTACGTAGATATAACTAAATCACAAATAGCATAGAGTAGTTCTAACACATGTCCATTAATGAGCTCGTACTAGGCAACCTGCTCGGTTAGAATTAGGATAGTTCTTTCCTTGGTTCCAGTCAGGTTAGTCATCAACAAAACTAATTAATCAACAGATTTCGATTTGGAAAAAATACTCATGTACCCGATCGGGTATTGCCTATATCGATCGGGTATTCGCTTGATTCGATTGTCCAAATCAAATCCGGGAACAAATAATCGTGGGAGCAAATTTTCGTGAAGATTTGTCACATACCTGATCAGGTATGCCGACATACCCGATCAGGTATGCCCAGAAAAGTGACTTTCTGGGCAATTTGCTAAGATACCCGATCGGGTATCCTATATACCCGATCGGGTATCAGACCCTGTAGCTCCCAAAAGCCTATAAATACACCCCTTTCCTTCACAATAAAAACACCAATTCACATATACTCTTTAGTACAGTTTAGATTAGTGTTTTCTTTATATTTTCTATCATGTTTAGTCTCCAAATGAGGAGCTAAACTCTTCCATCTTGGTTTTGCTACTTTGAAGCTTAATGAATTTGTAAGTTGTGAGTTATTCTCTTTAATCTTCTTCCTTGAATATTAATTCTTCCTTTAAATACTATTTCTATATCAATGTTGGGGAGTGTTACTAAGATGACAATTAGTTAACATCTTGACATTAGTTATAGTAATAGTTATTTCTTCCTCTATGTTAATATTGGGGAGTGTTATTAAGATGACAATTAGTTAACATCTTGACATTAATTATAGTAGGATTCATCTTCTTTAATATTCTTCCTTGAGTATTAATTAATTCATATTCATATTTCATATTAATATTTTGAACATTACTTAAAGGATCAACTAGTTTTGTGTCATATAATAATTATTACTAGAATCGATCGACGAATACGCTTGTTAATCGTTCGATCGTTTCACGGTAGTAAACTTGGGTTATTAATGCATGCGTTTCATGGTTAATAAACCAAGGGGACTTAATTATGTTGATTAAACCAATAAACCGCTTGTGTTGAGGTTATCAATTTCAATCGTTTTCATCTTGATTTTATTGCTACTATCGGGTTAATATACGGCGCGTGTTCTATATTGACTCGGTAGTAAGTTTTATTAATGAACGCGTCTCGTTATTAATAACTACCCTCGATGAATTGGATATACTCCTCGATTGAGTATTTGAGAGGAAGATAGTTAAAGATATAACCGGGTTCGACGAACATTTCATTAAGTGGATAAAAGCAAAACCAAGTCATCATCTCTGATCTATTAATTAAACCCATTTAAGTCGTTCATCTTCGTATTTAATTAATTAAAATCAAACACATCTAAAAACCCCTTGTTACTATTTAATTAAAAAGAGAAGTATTCATTTCCCTGTGGATACGAACCTTACTTCGTTATACTACGTATAATTGTTGTATTGATAATTATTTTGAGTGCACACCACGACAAAGTGCACGTCAATAGGTAATTGGGAGATTGAATTCCCATTGTTTTCCACTCCTTTTTTTAAATTTTCTTCCTCACAAAGTAGGCCCTCGGATAGCTCTCAAAGCTCTGATACCAATGTTGATTCAAAGCCTATGAATTACTATACAAACATATGTGATATGTAGGGAAGAAGAGAGGCATTTACTCTATATTTTTATTGATAACCATTAGGCTTTATATAGCCTTTACAAAGATGAATTGAACCAAACACGTATAACAACTAGTTCCTAGAATTAAGGCTAGCCATATGAAAGTAACGTGGATAATAGATGACTTGATCAAATGCTAAAAACAAGTTAACCAACTTCTACGCATGACTTATTCAATAAACATAATAATAAAGAATAAACAAAGCAATATTAATTCCATGTGTGCATGGCTTTGAACTCCTTCGCATGCAAGCTTGATCATACTTTCAACATTTATTTACTTTGGCTTCCAACCTTGCATGCGTAAGATGTCAGTGCATGGGACAGAGCTTTTTAAAAAAACCTGGATTAGATAAATCTGACTTCTTGGTGTGCAGCACGATCCAGTAACTCGAAGAAACTGCTCTCTGATTCAGCCCTAAGATTTTATGAAAAATATCTCAACCCTTCAATTATGTACGGTAGTTCACCCTCCAACCACAACATTTACCTCTTTAAATACCTTCAACGTCATATTTAAAACACTACATACAAAAACAAATTCAACTATACAAAATTATTGAGTGTTCTTGCTGATTTTAATTTTTTGTTTCTTCAGATTGAGGTTAGAAATTTAATAATGTTTTTTACTCCCTTCATAACACTCATATCTTTCCACTTTCCTTTTCTAGTCGTAACATTCATATCTTCCCATTTTCAAATCTTCTCATCATACTCTAAATAATTTTAAACATAATACACAATTACAACTACTTTTTTTGGTGTATCCTTCATTCCAACACACTATTTCATTATTTTCTCATCACTCTTAATAATTTATATTCTTTCACTATTCTTAATCTCACCTACTGTTCAAATGGGAAGATATATCAGTTACGGAGGTAGTATTTTTTTTGCAATTACAGTTTGTACTGATTTTATTATGTTAATCTCAATATTTAGAAAATTTTAATAGTAATACTACTACGAGTATGTAATTAATCTTTAATTGTTATTAAGATATTTGATATAGTCGTACTAAATAAATATTAATAGAAATAATTAGTTTACAGTTTATAATTACTTGTACCGTTTCCTAAATTATACTTAATTTACGTTGAATAGTAGCCCTTAATTAATTTAACCACATTTACTATTTTTCAATTATAATGATTGGTTCACTAACATTTGTTAATAATGTATTGAATATAAGTTAAGTTATTGCTTATATTTACTATAAGTTAGTGTATTACTGGTTTATATTATTAGGGGTTATATTTACGGGTTTATATTTAGTTCACTACATTTATATTACGGGTTTATATTTAGTTTAATTACTTAGTGTATTGGTTCTCTACATTTATATTACGGGTTTATATTTAGTTTAATTAGTTAATTGGACAATTTAATACTCCCTCCATCCCATTTATATTGTCCCGTTTTACGTTTTCGGGAAGTCCCACCTAAATTGTCTCATACCATATTTGGCAAAGTTTGTGTGACCTAGTACTCTATTTCTAGTTCTGGCAAAACATTTTCTATAACTAGTCCTTTTCTAGTTTATGACATAGTGACAATATTGCTTAGTAGGAAGTCTAAAATTTGTATCGGTACAAATATTTTAATTGCAATATATTGTTCAAATAATCTCAAACTCGTCTAGAACTAGTCCATTTCTAGTTTCTGGCAAAAGTTTTGTCTAGAACTAGTCTTTTCTAGCATCTGGCACGATGAGAGTATTGCTCGGTGGAAAGTCTAAAATTTGTATCCGTACATTTATTGTAATTGTACTATACTGGTATAATTATCAAAAGCGCGTCTAGAACTAGTCCATTTCTAGTTTCTGGAAAAGCTTTTATCTAGAACTAGTTCTTTTCTAGTTTCTGGCACGGTGATAATATTGTTCAATGGAAAATTTACAATTTCAATGGTACATATGTTATAATGTATCACATAACACTGATACAGTTTCATTGAAACTTTATACTCCGTATCTAATATATAATCTCATTTAATAAAATTCCTCATAATGATTCTTAATATTAGTTGCGATAAGAATGGCTGCACAAATACCACTTATGGACCCGGTTGATCGGTCTGTGCTAGTGATGCCACGTTACGCGCATCGCGCGGACCTTGTCTGGAATGATGCTACATCCACTGATGAAAAGTTGAGGTGTAATATATATTGTTCAAAGGTGTACAAAGACTACCCGCGTCATCTAGGAGTGGTAGCGTTGCTAAAGACCTCCGGATTTTATGGAGACGAGGGCATCGGAAGGTTGCAGTTAGACTGGTCTCTTATAACAGCGTTGGTTGAAAGATGGAGACCAGAGACACACGCCTTTCATTTGCCTTTTGGTGAGGTGGGCATCACCTTACAGGACGTAGAAGTGTTGTTGGGGTTGCCCGTCGAAGGAGAACCACTGTCCGGACCTAGGACAAATTTGAAGGCACTTTGGATACAGATGTGCACAAACTCCGCCGGTTTCACGCCAACCAACAAGGACTTAAACACATCTGTAATAAGAATGAATGCCCTACACCGTTGGCCGATACATCAGCACAACACAAATGAGGAACTCATCACACACACGAGGGTACTCATTTGGCAACTACTAGGCGGGTTATTGTTCCCCTCCACTACTGGGAACAAAATAAAATTGTACTTTTTAGAGTTGTTGCAGGGACCACTCGGTGATGCACGACGGTGGAGTTGGGGCTCAGCAGTGTTGGGATACCTGTATCACAACATGTGCAAGGCCGCCAAAGCCAACAGAAAAATATAGGGGGATGCTTGCTTCTATTGCAAATTTGGGCGTGGGAGAGATTGCCCATGGTGCGGCCGCGAAACGCTTTGCTATATGAGAATCTACAGGATAAGCCCTATGGTTGCAGGTATAATTTAAAATTTTACATAATAAATATTAGTATATCAAATATATCCGTAGTTCACGGTATACTAACTTATGTTTATGAAGGTGGGCGTGTCGGCACAATTGGGAACAAAGTTCTCGATATACTCTGCGTCTTTATCGGGATCAGTTGGACGGGATCCGAGAGAACGAGGTAATAATTAAAAATATCATTTTAGTGTAATAAAAAACTAATATGTATTTAAATTAACGCCAAATAATATTGATCCAGTTCGTGTGGCTCCCATATGCATTACATGCCCTCCCCTGGTTCTGCGTCGCGGGAATAGAATTGTGGACATCTAATGTCATGCTTATATTCGGTGACATTTCTGAGATGTATTACCCCGGTAGATTTTGTCGTCAATTCCGTGCAATGCAACATGTTCCTCCCGCAGCAGAATCGCAAGCTAGACACCATGCAAGTGGTGCAAAAAATTATGGATGGCCACTGACACTATGGGAGGAAAGGCACACGGCTCGTCGTCGTACCACAATTGAGTTCGTTGATGATCCCTCATACACTCATGCGTACTGTGAATGGTACAAAGATGTCAGGAAACGACGGATTTGCAATCCGTTACATGGTCGACCTACAACGGGTTATGTACCTACTAATAGGGAGACGAGTACTTTGGTAAGTATTTTATGTGTAATTATTCAACTTACAAATGTTTATTGTTATTTAATAACTTTACTTTTGAATTGTAGATGCAATGTATGGGCGATATCTATCGACGCATGGCAACTCCATTTGACGTCGAAGACATCCGCGAGCAAATTTCACGATGCCTTACGAGATTAGGTGCCGAAGACGTGCTTCATCAAGATATCATTTTGTTCGGGGATGCCCATGATGATGCAGTGGATGCTCATCCTCCACTTCGGCAAGACCTAAGAAGAGACGCGCCCACTCGAGGTCGGCGTTTCGGGCGCGGTTATGTCGATCCACACATCGAAGAGAATGTGAATGATGATGATGGTGACAACGATAATCATGATGATGGTGACGACAATGATTATGAGGATGATGATGGTTATGATGATGATGAAGAGGATGACGAAGATGGTGGCGAAGAAGAAGGACAACCATCGTCTTATGTTCATTCACATATCCCTTCCCCGCCTCATGTACCCTATCAGTACTCTACACCGACTGGTGCATACATTCCGACATTCGACCCATCGCTTATTCCACATGTACAACCAACATATGAGACGTGCCCCACCTTTTTAAATTCACCAATTGATTGGTTGGACAACTTATTAGGATCAGATGCACATAGTCGATGGGGGCACGAAGTAGGGCCAAGACGAGAAATACAACCAATGGTTGAACAGAGGCCGAGACGAGAAATACATTCTCGACGCTGTGGGACAGGGAGTCGCTTCGTGGTGCCAGGTCGACACTATGAATCTGATGACTCAGAGTAGTTGTATGTAATTAGTTTTATAATTACTTTTTCGTGTAGTCCATTAAATTTGATATTATCATATTGAAATTCGAGTTTTAGGTTTATTGGTACTTTTAAAGTATCAATTGAATTTGGTATTATCATATTATGAAGTTGTACGTTTAATATTATCAACTAGTACAAAAGTGTAGACATTCCTCTCACTTTTTTATGGCACATTCCATGTCACTACGGGAACCAATAAATTGTAAACAGATTTTTTTCAATCACTTATTATTCGAAATAATTTGAACCACTCGCTCCCAACCACTTTCACCCACCTAAACCTACTCCCAACCCCCAATAATTTGGATCTCAAAAAAATATCTTTGGTACAAATCTGTACAGATTCCCTTCACTTTAAATTAAATCAATCAACTTTTACTTTTTCTGTCAGATTCCCTGTCAGTTCGGGAACCAATAATTTGTAAACATCTCTCAACCAACTCCAATAATTTGTACATAACATTTAATTTTTTTTTTGTCAATCACTTATTATTCGAAATAATTTCAACCACTCGCTCCGAATCACTTCCACCCACCTAAACCTACTCCCAACCACCAGTAATTTGGATCTCAAAAAAATCTCTGGTACAAATCTGTATAGATTCCTCCCACTTTAAATTAAATCAATCAACTTTTACTTTTTCCTGGCAGATTCCCCTGTCACTTCGGGGAACCAATAATTTGTACACATCTCTCAACCAAAGCCAATAATTTGTACTCAAATCCGTATAAAGCATTTACTCCGTATTATTTACTTTTGCTCCCAAACCGTGCATGTGTCAGAAGTTGGTGCATGAGTCTGAGGCTTTTTAAAATCTAGGATTAGAGAAGCACACGAATTGGTGCACAACTCGATCCTGCAGCTCGAAGAACTGCTCTATGATTGGCCTATTGAGAAGCACACGAATTGTGCTTTCCCATTCCCTATTTTGCAATTACTCCGTATATGTTTGTACTGATTTTATTATGTCAATCTCAATATTTATAAAATTTTAATAGTAATACTACTACAAGCATGTAATTAATCTTTAATAGTTAAGATAGTTGATTTAGTCATACTAAAT